TGATAAGGAGGACCGCTTGGCTTGCTATCATCTGTAACTTGAAGCCCGAGGGGCTGGAAAGAACTGTTCTGTAAACACTGTCCCGAGGCTGTCCCCTGGCAGCTATATTTAACTAGGCAGTGTTAATTAGACAGATGCCATTTTCTCTTTTACATCTGAATCATTTAAGGGAATTAGACAGTTTTGGCCAGTGGGGAACTCTGCATCCTTCTGCATAGTTTGAAAATGGAAAGCAACTTGGTCTTAAGAGTAGGAAGACTTGGGACCAGCAGTTAGCATAATGGCTATGTCGCTGGACTCCCATGTAGTGGAGTTCGAGTCCTGGACCCAGTGACTTAAACTCATGCCAGGCATGTGTGCATGCGTGCCCAAGATCCCAAGAAGAGAATGGAGGAGAAGGGATTGTGGCATGGCCATCCTCCCTAGGGGTGATTTCTCGCTTTCTGTCTCTGTCTGTCTGGCAAGCGCATGCGCCCTATAGCAAAAAGCTCTCCAAAAAAAAAAAAAAAGAGTAGGAAAACTCGATTGGTCAGATTATTTATTTGATCATCATAGTGTAAACCAAATGCATTTTGGGAATTTTGATTTTAATATTTTTGAATTGAGTTAAAATACTGGCCTTTCCTCTCATAATGCATGAGACCTATGCAAAAATAAACAAGTCAACCTATAAACTATAATAAACATGAAACAGAAATGTGTTTTAGGAGACAGTAGGGACATCACAGAGAGCTGGGTCAGATCCTAATTGTGTTGATTAATAGCTGTATGATCTTGGGCAAGTAATTAAACTCCTCAGAGTCTCAATCTGATAAAGTTTAGAGATTAAATTATAGATGCAAAATATTATACACATATTTAAGGTTTTTGCCACAGGGTATGTGCACTGGCCAGAGACAGAGAGAGGGACAGTGAGAAATCACCTGCTGGGAGAAAGACCATGCAGCAATCCAGTCTCCATGTTATGTTTCTCCTGGGATTTTGGGCACACACACACATGTGCCTGGAGTGATTTTCAGTCTGCCAGGAGACTCAAACTGCAGTCAGCTATGTGAGAATCCAGCATCTTAACCACCATGCCACCTGCTGGCTCCAGTAGTATTTATACTTAAAATAATTTTATTAGAATGATTTTTTTTCCCCAGCAAAGGTCATCTGGCCAGAGGTAGCACATATTTTCTTCTGCTTCTCCCATCTCCTATAACGCTACTCACTGAAATGTGATGCTTAGTTTTCATGATTATCAAATCCTTTGATTCTCTGCTAAGACAGCTTACTGTCAGGACACAGTCTTAAAAGGAGTTATTTGGCATTTATGTTTTTCAAAATTTCTTGTTCTCAAACTCTTTAGGTTAACTAATAAGTAACCCTTAAACCTGAAGGGCCAGTCAACTGGGACCACAGCTGTCCTCTCAGAGGGACTTGTCTGCCCAAGCAGACAAGATTTGGGTAAATAAGGGAGGTGACTGTAGGTGGGAAGCCACAGCTCCAGGAGATCAGCGAATTAAAGCTGACTGCAATGGGTTGATAGCAAGGGGCTGCTTTCTCTGATTTTGCACATTTGCTTGGTCTTCCAAATGTAATTTGTAGAGATACACGGTACCAACCTGAAGGCAGATTTTAAGCAAAAAACAGCTCAGGAACCAAAGTAAAATGTTATAGTTAACACTGAGCTTTAACACCAGTCAGAATGTATTTCCAAATAGCGACGTGAATTTCGTACACTTTCTTTAAGATCTGCCCATTTAGGGCAGATTAAAATGTTCGTGACCTAGGGTGACCCACTCAACAAGAAAGAGTATTCTGCCTTCCTTAGTTAATAATGCTAAATGGTTTTGCTGATTTGATTCACCCCATTACTTTAACATGCAAGGCCTCTCCTAATTAAGGCCTTGCCTCTGGTTTGCAGAGAGACATGACTTCTGTGGGTCATCTCATGGTATCCACAGTAGACGCTGGTCACCTCCAGAGATCAAGTGTCAGGTGAATGGTCTTGAAAACCCAAGTCCCATTTCCATGCAAATTTACCTTAATAAGCAGGATGGAGACAAGGGGAGGGCAAATGCTAAAGATATTAGAGAGTCACGTAAATCAGAGATGGAAAAATATCTAAGGCACACTCTAGGTGTGACCTTGAACTTGGGAAGATGTTTCTGGCATTTCCCCACAGCTCAGCTCACGCCTGGGCGCTTGGTTTTGACTGGCTGTAAATCACAAGGGCGAGAGAATGGACGCAGGAGCAAAATTGTTTCTGAATACTGGCACTTTCCTCCGCTTTCCCCGCAGGTGGCAGGCTGGGACACAGGCATGTCACAGAGCTCCCCCCTTACAACAAGCCCCAGTTAAACAGGCCCACTCTTCATGGAATTGCTGTGAGGAAATTTGTTCACTCCCATTTCCATTTGTAAAATGAAATCTGTTCAGCTGCTCTTTGGTAGGAGGGAGATGTTCAAGGTGGGACAAGCTATGCTGTTTTTATGTAAATCACAGGCCCCTAATAGCAAAGAATGGCAGCTATGCTACCCCTAAGGGCTGGTCTTCTGTTTGATCATAAAAATGCATGGAAATTCATATCCCATTTCTCTGTATCTATTAGTATTGATTTTGAAAAGTTTTAAATTACCACCGGGGAAAAACAAAACAGAATTAGTAGAGTTTATTCAGTCTTTATCCATCTGTATTATCATCTGTACCTGCCACCCTTACTCACCGTATCTGAGAAATAAAAAATATATGATGGAGATAAAGAACAGAGAGCAACAACTGAGACAGAGAGAGAGAACCCAAATTCAGGAACACAGGGAGCCTTCTTACTGCTCTTTGCAATTACAGTGCTTCTGACCTCTGAGGGGAGAGGAATAGAGCAACCCCCCTCTTCAGTGTGAGAAGCTGCATCTTCAGGGGCAACCCGGCCGCCTCCAGCAGCCTCCCCACCCCTACCCCTGCTGATAAAGCCATTTGTGGGGCCCTCTTGCTAGCTGTGCCTCTCACCAGCTTCTGAGTCTCTCTCACCCCACCCACAGCCCCTTGCAGAGTAGCAACCAGAGCCACAGAACTGCCTCACCACAGGGGAAGACCACAAGGACTGCCTGGGGCAGGATTTTCTCTGCCCTTGCATTTCCACATAAGCTTCTTTTACACCAAAAAACCTGGGAAATATTCAAGCTATATACATACCAGGAATGTCTGTCTAGGTCTAAAATACAGTCACTACCGAAGATGAAAACAAAAGCTATGAGACAACTCTTTAATCTCTATTCGAAAGCCAGATTAAGTGGATTTGTTCAGAAACATGTATCATAATCAAGATGGTACTGGGCAAGAAACTTCTTTACCAATTGCAGCTTCTTCTAAGCTGGCAATGAATAGCCAAGGTCTCCGTTTTATGTATTATTTAAAAAGAGCAATTGCATAACACACAAAGCTAGGCAAAAATTCAGGCTCAGGACCTGATGAGAGAGGAGACGGCTTTTACCGGAATCAGCAATACCACTTCCTATTTCAATGGGGAGAACTCTAATTTGAATACTTGCCTCAGTTTATGCTGTAATTCAGATATGATAACGTCTTGAATTTTTTTTTTTTTTTTACGAGAGAGATCCATTGCTTTTTAGAAGTATTATTTCTCACATATATATCAGGACATTAACAACAAAGGTAATTTTTGTTAGTTTATCTTGTGTGTGAAATGTAGTGAGAGAATAGTGAGTTTATTTTTTAATTTATTTAACTTTATTTATTATT